ACATATATATATATATATATATACATACATATTTATATACTATATATATATATATATACATTATATAATTTTAACTTAAATAACTTAATATACATGTAATTAATATAATACAGATAAAATTCGATCGAAGGAATAAACTTTTGTCTTTTTTTTCGAAAACGTCTTTCGAGAAGTTCGACAAAACTGCACCATATTTCCTTTATACAACTTGTTAAAGAATATCTGCGTCATCGCAGGTCATCGAATAATGCAGCGAACAATACAGAACAAATACTGAAAAGCACTATCATTCCACCATCATTATCGCTTAACAATCAGTGAAGTGTCTCTGACTCACAGACCAAACAACCTACAGATTCTTTCTACTAGTATTAAAAAACCGAGTTTATTACGTTTATCACGCATTATTACACTGGTTCTTATGTGCACTTATTCTTAAAGTCAGTCCGATTTATATTTATATAACGTTTAACACTTTCGTAATTATTACTGTCTTGTTAAAGCGTTTTAATTCTCTAGGATATTTGATAGGTGTAGAGACACGTTCTTCATACTGCTATAAATATATGTGAAATATATATTTACTGCAACCTAGCATAAAAAAATATTGTGCAAATATCTCCTGCTACACGTCTGGTAATATAGCTGACATAAAATTATCTGAATTTTAACATTTTCTAAAAACTAACGCACCGTCCGTGCATTTTATGCTATACAATTTTGCCATATATAAACTGCGATAAAATTAATCAATATCATAAAAGAAAACAATTCTACCCTATGTGCACTGTTATGTTGTATGTGTATGTATACGATACGCGTCATATGTATTTCTATGTATAATTCCTATGTATAAAAGCAGATTAAAAGTAAAGTCGTGTGCGAGCCTCACACCCTACCTAAAAGTCAAAATAATTCGCCCTCTTTTCATCACCGTCAATTTTTTCTTTCTCCCGCGGCTCCCGTCGCATTCCCCATTTCTTTTTTCACCTGCCGTTTAATCGCCAATAAAACAGTTTTTTTTCTTTTTGTACCAAGTGTGTGAGTGTATATTGTATGTGGCTGTGTGTGAACGAATTTAGTTTATTATCTTACATCCGCTAGTCAGTCCATTTTTGTCAAATTTGTTTATCATCTCGCGACTGTGCATGTATATGTATGTGATCGCGTGTGTGCAGTTTGCTGTGTGAAATGTATCGAATAATGAAAGGCAACGAGTCAGAAGGACTAAAGTTAACACTTTTCGTTAATGCATTAGATTACAATTAAGCGATAGGCTGCCCATCGTCGTCAACGTTTAAATCGTTATCGTTTAAAAATTATATAACTTCCACATTATTCTCTTATCACCTTATTATCGCACTTATTAACGTATTAAAAGATAGGTACGTGCGCAGTGTACGTGTGTGTATGTACGTGTGTCTGAATGTGCATTACTCTGCGCACGCGGCACTTTACCGATACCGGGTGCATGTTTCCTACAATTATCGCGACGATCGATCGAGCATATTTTAATTAATTAAACTGTATTATGCCATATATACGCACAAGCTTCACGCACGCACATTTACAGATACGCATTTTATGCCTTTCGGGAACTTTTATATATCTTTACATATATAAAAGTCAATAGTTAATCTTTATCGAAATCTTCACCGATCCTCGGATCAGCCATCAATCCTTTTATCCGCTAAAACTTTAAGCTACTATGTATTGTTATATTAGTTATTATTATTATTACTTGCGGGCGCGATTAAAATTTATTCATTAAACGATATTGAAAATGAAATTCATTTGGATTATATGCTTGGTAAAACCCTAAATACCTTCCCTAATGAGACTATATTACAAACATTATATCACAACAAATATCCCAACTATTCCTTATTGATCCACTGATCCGTGTTTTACTACCTCAGAGCTAACTCAATCACGGCTTTGATTCTCAAGATTAACAATTCTCGTACACTACGTATTATACAGATCGATTTTCTCCGCCTCCCTCAAACCACACCATCCCCCCCCTCCTTCCTAACGCGCGTAAGTTTCCTCTTACACTTGAAGTGTTCACTGAAGGCAAGGAAGAAAATCGTCGTAATCAAGAGACATGCCCATGGGGACTATGTTGAGAAATGCAAACGAATTAATCACACACTCTACTTTCACTACCCCCCCCCCCCGGTTTCATTTTGCGAAAGCAGGCAATTATACTTCTCCCACATTCATACCGTTTGTTTGTTCAAACTTTGCACTCTCTTCCTTGTTGCTTTGTCTCAACCCCCTCCCTGCCCTTCCTCGCCCCTTTACATTTAACTTGCACTCTGCACTCATTCGCTCTCCACTCACTCTCGCTGTCTCTCCGCCTTTTGCTCTCACGCGGCTTACCTTATCATTATTTGGGTACATTTAGTTTTACACACATTTCTTAGACACTTACATTCCTATCTTAGAATCTACACGTTATAAGATACGTTAGAACGCAATTACAAACTATGAAAACCCTTTTAAATACCTGTCTTTTAACCTATCCTTTTAAAATAACTTGTCTAATTAAGAACTTGTCTAACTTGTCGAATTTTATCATTATATCATTATTTGAGAAACGTTCGATCATTATTCCACGTTGTTGCCTCGTTATTAGTATCAATAACTCATTATTCGATATTCGTAAATTCAATATTTTATAGCGCATAAGTCTGTAGCATAAATTCATACATTGGTTGCCCTTACATCTACTGTTTTTATTTCTCTTACTCTCACTCTCTTTCGCACGCTGCTACATTTCATTAAGTAAAATGTAAGGATGCGTTACCATACATATACATATTACATACATATATGTATGCATAGGTATGTGTCTGTGTAGTATACAATAATAATAATATATAAGATACTTATGCATATATCGCATCCCCGGAAGCAGGCTGTCGCGCAACTCAAGAGCCGTAAATACGATTAATTGTACATAAATATTTAATTATATATATAAAATTTTTAATATTTTATAATATATTTTTTTTTAAACATACACATATGTCGTGTCTCCTGACTAGAGTCGTATTTCTGATCTTAAAGGTAACTTAAAGGCCACAAGAAATAAATTCTTTTGTCAATTAAAATATGATTAAAATTGCTTAAAAAGGGAATTAATAAAAGAATTTCGAGAATCGTATGTATGACACTCATTTTTTTTTTTTT